ATCCAGAATCACAGTTTGGGCCGACGTTCCCATACGTGTCTGAGAAGTTGAACCGATCTTGGGTTCCAGCAGGGAGGCCACACCTGGTGCAAATATTGAACCCATGTGCACCTTTGGACCCTTCGGATATAGAATCTGAAAAGCTGGTTGAGGAGCAGTTCTTGGTTGTATGCTCGGTTCCACTGTGGGTGTGATGTGCCCACCCTTTACCTAGAAAGAAGAAAGTCATATCAGCGGCCAGGATCCCACTTGGTTGTCAAACAGTCCAAAAGAGAGAAAAGAGGGCTCACCAGCTCTACATCTCAAGCACTTTCCATGCATTGGTTTGCATTGACGTGGATGTGCTGGAGTGATTGTGTTATTCCAAACATAACAGTCACCACAAGCACCCTTCATCTTCCGAATAAAATTCTGGAGACTGACGAGCTCATGGGAGATGAGAGAGTTGTCGCGGTTGATCTGGTTTGAGTTGACTCTGTTGTCGGGCATTGATTGCAGACGAGCTTGCTCAGCAGACCTGGCCAGTGAAGTGATTGAGAGGGAACTCTCGGCCGCCAGAGTGTTGGAGGTGGCAAGTTTGTCTGCAAGTGGATCTGTGTCTTCCAAGCGTCTGCGTTTGCGAGACTGAGCGAGCCCTGATCCCACATGTGCGCCTAGTGTGGCCTGGGCTGAAACAGTACTTGAGGAGTTGTATGAATTGCTTGGTGCTGATGGATCAGGGGACCAATCGGGAATTGAAGACGGCTGGGACAAGGATAAGGTGGATGGAAGTAAAGCTGGGTTGGCTGATAATCTTGAGCAACAGACACATGAAAGGAATGTGGGAAAGTTCCTGCAAGACCAGTTGAGATTATCTTGATGTTGAGCAAAGGTGTTAGCAGGGCACACTGCAGGATTCATCAGATTCTTTTTGAAGTCATCGATATCGCCATGGGGGTCTGAGACAGTTGGAATGAAAAAGATGTGAGCCTGGTGGCCATCCCGTCCGGCGCGCCCAAGTTGTTGGTAAGCCTTGTTTGCTGTTGCTCGGTTGGGGATGCCGTAAATGCAGACCAGACGGACGTGAAGATAATTGATCCCTGTCCCAAATCCGCTGGTGGCCACAATAGATCTAGCCCCACCGGATGTCCACTTTTCTACGGCCGCGGCTGCAACATCGTCTGGCAGATCCGAGTGGTGAATGACAGCCTCAATTTGGGGCCCAACAAGCTCAACAGCATTCTTGTTTTCGATAAAGATCATTGCACGGTCTTTGGGGCCGAGCAGGAAAGAGTTGATCAAGGGCTGGATGACTGAAGAAAGTTGTTCCCATTTTGCAGGGGATCTCAAGACCTCAATGTTGAGTTCTGGTCTGAAAGTGGGCTGACGTTTGGTGATCAAGCGACGCAGTCCAAAGGTGATTCGCAGGAGGTCGTCTTCTTGAGAATGAGGCAACGAGGCTGTTGTGAGGATGAGTTGAGTGGACAGCTGAGTGAGCGCTGTGACTCCAGGCATGTATCCACGGTATCCGTCTTCAAGGAATGAGTGTGCCTCATCAATGATGATGCGTGTGGGCAAGCAAGAGCGTAGCTGGTTGCAGAAGTGAGAGTCGGCAGCCTGATTTGTTGTTACAATGATTACTTGGGCCAGAGGATCGATGAAGTTTCCTTTCTCAAAGTGCTGCACTGTGACGGTTTTGAGCTTCTTGAAGTCGTTGACGGTTTGATCTACCAAGGCTTTGAGGGGCTGGATGATCACTAGTCTTTCCTTTGCATTGATGAGTGGGGGTAGAGGTAGGCAAA